AATTCAAAATAATTTCTGATTATCTTCTGTATTTCTGAAGTGTCTGTTGTGATATTGCCTTTTTCATCCCATATGCTAGTAATTTGAGTTCTCTCTTCTTCTCTTTGTTAGCATGGCTAAGGGTATGTTGATTTTATTTATTTTTTCAAAGAACCAACTTTTAGTTTTGTCAATTTTTTCAATTGTTTCTTTTGTTTCGATTTCATTAATTTCAGCTCTGATTTTAATTATTTCTTGCCTTCTACTTCTTTTGCTGTTGTTTTGCTCTTCTTTTTCAAGGATTTTGAGATGAAGTATGAGATCATTTATTTGTTGGTTTTTTCTTTTTTTAAGGAATGAACTCCAAGCAATGAATTTTCCTCTTAGAACTGCTTTCAATGTGTCCCATAGATTCTGATATGTTGTGTCTGTGTTTTCATTTATCTCTAAGAATTTTTTAATTTCCTCCTTGATGTCTTCTATAACCCATTGATCATTCAGTAACCTATTGTTCATTCTCCAAGTGATGCATGATTTTTCCTTCCTTCTTTTATCGTTGATTTTTAGTTTCATTCCATTATGATCAGATAAGATGCATGGTATTATCTCTACTCCTTTATATTGTCTAAGAGTTGCCCTGTGACATAATATATGATCTATTTTTGAGAAGGATCCATGTGCTGCTGAGAAAAAAGTGTAACTGCTTGATGTTGGGTGGTATATTCTATATATATCAATTAAGTCTAGGTTGTTAATTGTGTTATTGAATTCTATAGTTTCCTTATTCAACTTTTGTTTGGAAGATCTGTCCAGTGGTGAGAGAGGTGTGTTGAAGTTTCCCATGATTATTGTATGGCGGTCTATTAGACTGTTGAACTTGAAAAGAATTTGTTTGATGAACATAGCTGCACCATTGTTTGAGGCATATATATTTATGATTGTTATATCTTGTTGGTGTATGGTTCCCTTGAGCAGTATGTAGTGTCCCTCTTTATCCCTTTTGATTAACTTTGGCTTGAAATCTATTTTATTTGATATGAGTATGGACACTCCTGCTTGTTTCCGAAGTCCATATGAGTGATATGATTTTTCCCAACCTTTCACCTTCAGTCTATGTATGTATTTTCCTATCAAATGTGTCTCCTGTAGGCAGCATATTGTTGGGTCTTGTTTTGTGATCCATTTTACTAGCCTGTGTCTCTTAATTGGTGAGTTTAAGCCATTAACATTTAGGGTTATTATTGAGATATGGGTTGTTCTTCCAGCCATATTTGTTTATTTTTGTTACTAAACATGGTTTGTTTTCCTCTTTGATTATTTTTCCCCCCTTTACTGTCCTACCTCCCACTGTTGATTTTCATTGTTATTTTCCATTTCCTCTTCCTGTAATGTTTTGCAGAGGATGTTTTGAATAGATGGTTTTCTAGCTGCAAATTCTTTTAACTTTTGTTCATCATGGAAGGTTTTAATTTCATCTTCCATCTTGAAGCTTAATTTAGCTGGATACACGATTCTTGGTTGGAACCCATTTTCTTTAAGTGTTTGAAATATGTTATTCCAGGATCTTCTAGCTTTCAGAATCTGTGTTGAAAGATCAGCTGTTATCCTGATTGGCTTACCCCTAAATGTAATCTGCTTCCTTTCTCTTGTAGCTTTTAAAATTCTCTCCTTATTCTGTATGTTGGGCATCTTCATTATAATGTGTCTAGGTGTGGATCTCTTATGATTTTGCACATTTGGCATCCTGTAGGCTTCTAGGATTTGGGATTCTGTCTCATTCTTCAAGTCTGGGAAGTTTTCTCCGATTATTTCATTGAATAGATTGCTCATTCCTTTGTTTTGGACCTCTGTACCTTCCTGTATCCCAATGACTCTCAAGTTTGGTCTCTTTATGTTATCCCATATTTCTTGGATGTTCTGCTCATGGTTTCTAAACAGTCTTCCTGAGCTGTCTATGTTCTTTTCAAGTTGAAATACTTTGTCTTCATTGTCTGATGTTCTATCTTCTAAGTGTTCTACTCTGCTGGTAGTATTCTCAATTGAGTTTTTAAGTTGGTTTATTGCTTCCTGCATTTCTAGAATTTCTGTTTGTTTGTTTTTTATAACCTCTATCTCCCTGTATAGTTGATCGTTTGCTTCTTGGATTTGTTTATGTAATTCATTGTCGAAGTGATCTTTCATTGTCTGATTTTGCTGTCTAATGTCTTCTTTGAGACTCCAGATCATCTGAAGCATGTATATCCTGAATTCTTTATCTGACATTCCATCTGCTGCAGCTATTACCTCTTCTAAAGTTGAGTTGACCTGCATTGTTTGTGGTCCTTTCTTTCCTTGTCTTTTCATAGTGCTCGTGTTTCTTTCTGCTTGGTGAAACTGTTGTGTTTTTGAAATTTTCCCCCTATATATTTATATTGCTCTTGTATAGTTGAAAAGTCTCCCTTGCAGGGGCGGGCTGCGGCTGTGCTCCTCCTCCAATTGGGGTGATCTGTCTACCATGCTGACGAGCCCCTGGGCCTGTTCTGAAGGTCGGTCGCAGGTCTGCATACCTTGCATGCGCGGGGGGCAGCTCTGCTCTGCCCTTGCTCCAATTGGGGTGACGTGTCTACCACGCCGGCGGGTCGCTGGGTCTGTTCTGGGCACGGGAAGCGGCTCTGCTCTGCCCCTACTCCAATTGGGGTGTTGTGACTACCACGCCGGCAGGTCGCTGGGCCTGTTCCGGGCTTGGGTGGTGACTCTGCTCTGCCCCTACTCCAATTGGGGTGACGTGACTACCATGCCGGCGGGCCATCACATAGTGACCTCCAGTTCCATTCATATCATGGATCAAGATGCCAATTTTAAACAATTATATATCAAGCTGTTAAACCGTACTGAGCACTTTCTTGAATTGCACACAAATGGAATCCTGTAGTGCATGCCTTTCATTGTTGTGGGGCTCTTGTTATTCAACAAATTGTGCACTTTAAATCTCTGTGGGTTGCTGAGTGTTATTATTATCTAATAAATTAATTAAACGGAAAAATCAAGTGGTGTGTGTCTCAGGGTACAATACAGGGCACATACGGCTGGTCACACTTAACAAGGGTGGAACTGTCTTTTTTACCTGGGAGGAAAGCAAAGGGTCACATATACATATAGGAACAGTGGCCTTACATTAAGGTAGGTAATTATTGTAAACTAGAAGGTCAACCTTGATTTAAACTGACCATAAGTGATTTCCAGACTGAACTGTACTGTCTCTGTCCTCCACACCACAAGTGAGCCTTGGAAACACATTGCAGATGCTCACAGCTGAGTACAGACTCATGAAACCACTTCCACTTGATAACAATACTACATTAAACCATTTGATTTTAGGATGGCTTTATAGACACCAATAGCTAATGATACAATAATCAAAGGGAAAAAGAACTGAGTGAAATTACAATAATCTGTTACTTCCAATTTTGACATTTTTTTTTCTGACACTTGATGACAGCATTCATAATTACTCTGTTGTTCAAGTTGGTTTCACACAAATATATTAAAAAGTGACTCCAGTGAGGTTCCATCTGACCAATAGATGTGGGAGGACATGCACCCTTGAGTAGGAATACGGTTGACTCTGAATCATATGACTGGGCTGGAGTTCAGGCTCTCCTGTGCTACATTAAATGATCATAAAGGTCATTCACAGCCCCTGTGGCGATTATGATTAAACTTTAGAAGATGGAGAGACTATATATTTGGAGCAATAGAGTCATGTTTACAGACAGTGCTAGACATATCCAAGCAGCAACAGGAAGATTTCAATGAAATTTTGACATAAAGCCCATCAACAATTCCTGAAGCCCAATGAATAAACCCTCTCATATGGTGACAATCACCTTCCACACTTCAGTGATTAAGAACAGAATATGAAAAGGAAATATTTTCCTTAGCAGTACAATTACCTGTTTTAATAGTTTGGTTTGGGCTGTGATTGTGGCTCAGCAGTTGAGCGCTCGACTAGCACAGGCGAGACCCGGGTTTGACTCTCAGCACCACATTAAAAATAAATAAATAAATAAATAAATAAAGGCATTGTGTTGTGTCCATATATAAAAAAAGATTCTCTCTCTCCCCCTTTCTCTCTTTCTCTCTGTCTCTCTCTCCTCTCTCTCTTAAAAAAACAAGTTTGGTTGTCATATTTAAGGTCATCCCTGACTGGTCAAACCCTTATTCAAATTCATCTTTCCAGTTAGACTCCCCTTAGAGACACACACTTGATAATCAATTTTTGGCAATAACTTTGGTACTCAGTGTGCACTGAATTGAATAAGAGAACATGATGATATGAGATAATAAAATGCAATGATAACTTACAAAATAAACCAGAGTGTTAAAATGTACATTATCAGGAGGAGCAGTTAACGTCATGGTATAGAAAATAATAATGGGATCTGGGGTCAACTCAGCACTAGAGCAAGGCTGAATGAGGACCTAGGTTCCATCCCTAGCTTAAAAAAAAAGAAAAGATGAGAGAGAGTGTGTGAGGGAGGAAGAGTGGGAGGAGGGAAGAAAGGAGAGGGAAAGTAAAGGTGAAAAGAGGAAATCACAGAAGCACATATGGAAAACCTATTTCAGATTTTTGTATATTACAATTTTAATTGCCTTGGCTTCCATGTGTAGTCTTTTCCTCAGGAATAGTAAAACTCATGACTATTATGTTAGCAAACACAAGAAAATATTTGTTATTGAAGAGCAAATTATTCTTAAGAAGTCCATGTTGTCCCATGGTATGAGTGGGAATTTCTAAATACTTCTGACACAAAGGTGGGAATGGGTTTGGGAAAGTGGGAAATGACAAAGGCAGACATTTCATTAGAGACTAGAAATAATAGAAAGCCTAATCAAGCTAGTTCTGTTCATTGTGTAGGAAAGCTGATGTCAAAGAAATGGAAACCATGGTAAATAAAAGGAGCAAGTTTTCATTCTACAATCCGATCAAAGAATTATGGTTTCTGACTCAATAACTTTGAGCCTTGCAAGCACAGGCAAGTCTACTGAGGTGGATGAATTGGTTCTCTTCCAGATGTCCTCCCAAGAAGCCTTCTCAGAGAACTCTTAATGTCCTTATTCCTCAGACTGTAGATGAAGGGGTTCAGCATGGGGGTGACCACAGTGTACATCAAAGAGGCTGTTGCAGTGGAGTGTGAGTTTTGGGTCACAGAAGAACTAAGATATACTCCCAGCAGCGTGCAATAAAATAAGGAGACCACAGAGAGGTGAGATGCACAGGTGGAGAAGGCTTTGTACTTCCCCTGAGCTGATGAGATTGCATGGATGGAGGACACTATCTTAGAGTAAGAGTAAAGGATGCCGGTGAGGGGGCCAACAGCCAGAAACACAGCTGTGATATATATCACCATGTCATTAAGAAAGGTGTCAGAACAGGCATGGTGGACCACCTGGTTAAGTTCACAGAAAAAGTGGGGGATTTCCAAGTCTGTGCAGAAGGACAGTCTCAATACCATGAAGCTATGCAACAAGGAATTCAGGAAACTCATGATCCAGCATGCCAGAACCAACAGTCTGCAGAGGCGGTGGTTCATGACGATCATGTAGTGCAGGGGGTGACAGATGGCCACATATCTGTCATAAGCCATCACAGTCAGCAGAAAGATGTCCAATCCTGAAAAAAGCAATAAGAAGTACATTTGGGTGATGCAGCCTGCATAGGTAATGGCCTTGCTCTGTGTCTGGATGTTCACCAGCATCTTGGGGATTGTGGTGGAGGTGAAGCAGATGTCCACAAAGGACAGGTTGGTGAGGAAGAAGTACATGGGTGTGTGCAGGTGGGAGTCTGAGATGATGGCCAGGATGATGAGCAGGTTCCCCAGCACAGTGACCAGGTATATGGAGAGGAACAGCCAAAAAATAAGAAGCTGTATTTCTGCTTGCTCTGAAAATCCTAGAAGAAGGAATTCCGAAATTTGTGTATCATTTTCTGGTTCCATGTGATTGATATGACTACCAAAAAAAAGGAGAGAGAACAAGAACAGAACACAAGAATGCATTACTCACCCATCACAATGCTGCCTGTTTTATCTGTGTGTGTGTGTGTGCGTGTGTGTGCGTGCGGGTGCGTGCACATGATGGGCATCAAACTCACTGTTAAGCAAGCACTCTACCATTGGGCTATGAATCATCCACAATCTTCTACAGTAAAGCAATTAACTTCATACACCAATGAAGGGTGTATGAAACTTGTCACATACATAGTATTAATTGTGTTATCTCTGATTATAAATTTCTGCCTCATGTTCAGCATCTACTCAAAGATCATGTATTCAAAAAATGTTTAATGTTTTTATTAAATAAGTGCATTATAGTCATACATAATATTGTGGTTAATTCTGACCTAATCATACATGCAATTTATCCAATTCAACCCCCACTACTTCCCCATTTCCTCCCCTTCTCCCTCCTTGTTTCCTTTTCTTTGTTCTATTGGTCTTCCTTCAATTTATTTATAGTTTTTAAACTAGTGCTTTATAGATATACACAAAGGTGTAATTCACCATGGTGTACTCATACATGTACGTGGCAAAATTTGGTCAATCTCATTCCACTATTTATCCCTTTTCCCATCCCTCCTGCCTCCCGCTCCACCCACTTCTCTGCTCCACTGATTTCTCTTCTGTTTTCATGGGACTCCCGTCTCGTCCCCCTTACTTTGGTCTTGCTTCTGCATATGAGAGAGCATTCCCCCTTGACTTTCTGAGTCTGGATTATTTCATGTAGCATGATGTTCTCCAGTCTCATTTACTTTTGGTGAGAAATTCTTCTATGCACTTGAGAAATAGAAATATAATGAGGCACTGTTGACATAATGTGTGAAAAAAACCAAAATCCATACTCCATGTGAAGGAGGAGGAAAACCGTATTTGTCATCTGCCCATCACTGTAAGAAATACTTGAGAAAATCAAGTTTTATTCTGGCTCTCAGTTTTGAAATTTCCAGTTGACCCAGCAGCTTTGGGCCTGTGGTGAGGCAGAATATCATGGAGAGAAGCCTTTGTGGAAGAAGTCCACTCCTCTATGACAGGAAGCAAAAGAAAGCAAGGAGGAGGCCACACCCCCATCAACCTAAGGAATCTCACTAAGCCCCACTTTTGAAGGTATCACCACCTCTGAAAGAACCTCTCTGAGGACCAAATCTTTAACACATGGGCATTTGGAGATAGTCAAGATCCTATACATTCAGCTATATTACAAGTGCAATAAAAAATAAATAAAAAGGAGAGAGTGGATGGGGGTATTATTTTACTGGGTGTTCAGGGCAAAGTGACATTTGAACAGGGAACTTAAGGAATACAAGATGGGAGCCAGGAGGTATCTCAGACTGTGTGCACTTGGAAGGAGGAACAGCCAAGGCAAAGTCCCCAAGGAAGATGCTTGTTTCGGTTATTCAAGGCTAACAAGGAAACCAGTGTGGTGAGCAGAGTGAACAATGGGTGAATGATGAGAAATGGTGTTGGAAGGTGATGAATGAGCCTGGCGTGGCGGCCCATATCGATGATGCCAGCTACTCAGGAGGCTGAGGCATGAGGATTGCAAGTCTGAGACCAGCATGGGCAACTTTATGGAACTTTCTCAAATGTAAAAGAAGAATGGCCAGGCACATAGCTCAGTGGCAGAGTGCTTGCCTAATATGTGCAAGACCTGAGTTTATCCCCAGAGTGACAGTCAATGAATCAGTCAAGAAGCACTGGGTACTACTGTCATGTATAACTAATTAGAACAATTTTTTTAAGTAAGAGAAGTACTGGGTGGCCTTAAAGAAACCTGTTTTAAACTATGAACCATCTTCTCAATGAACACATAGAGACAAATATAGCAGACCCATGGGGTTACAAAAGAAAGAAAGAAATGATCTAATGAACTCTGGTTGTTCCTTAGAGAACAGAAAAAAATATAATAATTTTCTTAATTATAGGTGCAGCCCAACTGCTGCTCTATGCCCTTGACACTCCTTAAAAATAATAAACAGCAAAAATAAATTTACAGATAAGACAAAAGACATGATATCTTTTCAGTGTCAAGACACTTGCAGATTGAACACCCCAACAGAGAAAGAATCAAAGGGAATAAATCAACAATTCAAAAGAGGAAAGAGATGCAGAAAGAGTGAACTGAAACATTTTATATGAGACAATGAAAGGTTCGCTCCTCCGGTGCCTGGTCCATATCTGTTTGACACACTGGTTTTCATGTGGTCTGACAATGGGCAGTCAGAGCCTCTTTCTCTTTTCTCAGGTGACACCTTCTCTTCATTATTTGTAGGTCTGAGGCTTGGATATTTTACCTTACTTTTGAGTCCCATGGGTATATTGTAGTCTTCAGACTTATCATGGTCAATAAGACTCTATAAAATTCCCTGCCAGGACACCACAACATTTCTCCGTTTAGCTGAAAACATCGTTCCTATAATGAATCCCTGAGGGCATTGTATCATCCACGTTTCATCATTCTTCATCTTCACCACTATAGTTTAAGATCCGAAGGTGGAGAATTCAATTGCTTTGCTCATCTTCAAGTTTTCACAAAAGTGTGAAAACATGTACATTATGTAGAAACAAACGTAAGGAAAATAAAAAGTTAGAATGGCAGGGGTATAAATCCAAGCCAAATTGATTTGTTTCCAAACAACAAAATCAAAAGGACCATTTTATAATGAACTGAAGCAGGATATGAAATGGCAGCAATTTAAGTGATTTCAAGATAGATTAATAATTTAATTTCCAAAGACCTAGATGTAAGAGAATATAATAAAGTTGTAACCATCTAATTTTATAATTTTATTTCATATCAAAATGTATGAAGGGATGGGAATGTAACTCAGTGGTGGAGCACTTGCTTAGCATGTGCAGTGCCCTGCTTTCAATCCCCATGTATATAAATTTTATATATATATATATTATATATATTATATGAAAGGTAGAGGTTATCTAATCAAGTGATAATGTCTTCCAAATGATGTCCAGAATGAAGGTGACTTGAGGAAATAGATCTATCAAAAAAGACCAAAGTCATAATGAAGAATAACAGACATGTGAAAACGAGTTGGAAATATGCATGAAAGGCTACTCACTTATTCACGTTATGCAGATAAACTTTGTACATTTAAAAACCAATGAGTCAAACACAATATAACCACAGACTTGATCCCACAAAATACATATAATTTCATAATTGCCCCCAACACTCCTATACATACATAAAATAACTAAATGGCAAAGGTGATAAAAAAAACTCTAATTCTTATATTTGAAATACAACAAGAATTGAACATAAAACACTCCAACCCCAATATACTCAAAGAACTTGCATAATTCACAATAAAATAAATGGCTAATGAGACCACAAGTATATCCACACTCAGCAGTAAGAAAATAAATACAAGGGAAGCTTGTTGATATGCATTTTTCACCTTATAATTTTTTCATCTGATTACTTTGCATTAGTGGAGAAATTGCAAAACATATGCCTCATGAACAACTATTGTAAGGAAGTATTTGCAAGCAATTAACTGGTCTGGTCTTTTCTTATGGATATGGAGATATATTTAAGTACTCCCCCTCTTATAAAAGACATACCCTCACCTCAGTGTGTATTCCTCCACAGCTAATACTGCCCATAATTTCAGAAAAGTCTTTGTATTTACATTCTACTTGTATGGGAACCACTTTATGCTAACCATTCCCTCCTTTAATTTGGCTTTTGACACTATCACTTAAATGTCCATGATCACCCCTGCATTGCTGAGTTCAGCTGTTATTACTCTTTGCAGCATCATAAGAAAGAACACTAACAATCAAGCAAGCCTCGCCTGCATTTTCTCCACTCTGGGCCATGCTGAATTGCTCTCAGGGAAACTGTTTCATCTTTTTATGTCTCTGGACCCTTCCTGCAGCACTGACTGAGCTCCTGGACTCACCTGGATGGGATTTCTGGAAGGAAGTTCTCTGTGTGGAAACACAGACTCTCCCCTGAATGGTTAAAATGGTTAATTATGGAGACTGAAACTCAGTTCCAAAGCAGGACAGCAGGAAGGAGTGAAGCATCAGTCCAAGAGCCAGACAGGTCTCCAAAATGAAAACCTGTTTTGTCCAACAGAAGATGGTGCATCCTAAAGTACAGCAGTGGAGGAGATATTCATAGCTCCTGAGAGCTTATCCCTTAGGTATATTCCCCTCATGTTCCCCTCTTGTTATTCAATCCCTGAGCACATCATGTCCCTGGGGGACACTAGTCTGCACAGAAGAAAAAAACAATTCTTTTTTTGCAGATTCTGTCCTCAAGAGACGAGGTGAAATCAGCTTTCATTGCTCCTCAGTGAACTCTTGGTTTCCAGAGATTTGACCTCCTAATACCTTTTCCCAGATCTGAGTTGACATTTTAAATGAAAGAAACTGTTTTCACTATGCCTTTAAACCACCAAAGCAGTGATTCACTTTAAGGGACACAGCCCCTGATATCCTCAAAAAATGTGATTTTTCTCTTCAACATGGGAGAACTCTGTTCCTGTGATATGAGACTGTAGGTATGACATTCCTTGGCTTTGTGGTGCTTTTGACAAAACAATTAAGAGGTTAATGCTTGTAAAACTAAGATAAAGTCAGGGTGGCCATTTAGTTCTTCACTTTTAAAGTATTTGGTAATTATGAGGGTTATATTTGGATCTTTTTATGCACCTTGTAGAAATTAATGACTTATAAGGTGTTACAATTCAAATATAAGGTATTCCCCAAAGAAGCTCATGTATAAGACAAAGCAAGAAGTTTTAGAGGTGAAATGGTTGGGTTCTAAGAGCACTAATCCAATCAGTGATCAATACCCTGATATTGACTATCTGGGAGATGACTGCAGGTGGCGAGAGTGTGGGTGGCTGGAGGAGGTGGGGCCTTGGAAGTGCACCTTTGGGATATATATTTTATCTTTGTTGAGTGGAGCA